GATAAACTGGTTGTGGAGCAGAGCAGAATTTTCTGCCTAGAGCCACTTTTGCTCACTAGAAGCGCTGCGGTTAAGATTCAGATTAAAAGTGGGTCGAGTACAGTATATAAAGTTGATGATGTAACTCGACTTCTAAATATAAATTAAGACCTTTGGGAATACAATTAAAATTCAGAAAAAGTTTTTTTTTTTAATTGCAGAGCAACGCTTCCTAATAAATGACAAAAAGTTAGGTTTAATATGACCTAAAATTGCACGATTCATTTTTATTTTTTAAATAAAAAATTATTTTAAAGCGTTAAAATTATTTATCTATCTCAGTCTTCATTACTTTATGTCCAGTGGCTGTTCAGCGATTCCAATTCATGAAGGATCCACTGACGAAATAATCGATAAAGCTATGGTTACAACAATTCCGCCACAGGAACGGTACTGCATCAAGTAGGTGCAGGTAGGCCGAAAACGGCAAATAAAAATGTCGACCGGGTTCACGCGTTTTCCAGCGAAGACCTCAAAATCCATTCGTCGAGCAAGTTTGGAACTGAATCTTCCAAGATATACGGCCCTCGATTGTACCAGTACATAAGAGGATTGAGGAAGCATGCATACAAATTTCAGGTTAGCAGGTGACGCTTGATAACCAGCCGAAGAGAAAGGATTTTGCTATCACCAGCGCCATAAATAGCCTTTTATGCGCCCGGTGCAAGCTTCTGTAACTACGCCCCAAAACTATGACCCAAAACTTGGTCCAGGTCATTTCTGCGCCCCTCAGGGTCTGCGCCCTGTGCTTGGGCACCGCTGGCACTACCGTAGTTACGGCACTGGCTATCACCATGTTGTCCAAAGTGGATAACGACGACCACAGGAACGGTACTGCATCAAGTAGGTGCAGGTAGGCCGAAAACGGCAAATAAAAATGTCAAGTGGCTTCATCGACAACTCTGATGAAGCCACTTTTCATATATTGGGAAAAGTCAACAGAAATAACTGTCGCATATGTAGTTCTCAGAATCCGCACGCATTTCTGAAACACCAGCGCGATTGCCCTAAAGTGAATGGCTGGTGCGCCATGACAGATGATAGTGTGATTGGTCTGCTATTTTTCGCCGAAAATACTGTGAGAAGCAGCAGTTATCTTGATAAGATTCAATTGTTTGTTGTTTCGTAACTGAAAGACCGGTAAGAAAATGTGATTTTCCAACAGGATGTGGCACTTCCACTCTGGGCAAAGGAAGTCCGGTGTTATCTCGATGCAACTTTCTTAGATCAATGGATATACCATGAAGCTTCATCGCTTGATATCCTCCCTCACCCGATCTGACGCCTCTTAATTTTTTCCTTTGGTCGCATATCAAGAATAGTGTGTACGTAAAAAGGTATCGAGCGTGGAGGAATTGAAGGAATGCATCACACAGGCAATCGGGACGATTCCAATTGATATGATCAGGAACACTTGGAGAGAGTTCGAACACAAACTGGACATTGTTCGTGCAACAAATGATGCACATGTTGAGGATTATTGAGGGAAAGTAAAGTTTTTCCATTTGCTTTATTACCTGTTGCAATCGGTTTTTTCCAATCTTACTTGGTTAATTTTGATGAGTATATGTAATGGGGTGAATAATTTTCGAACATCCTGTATATGTAACGTTAGAACAATAAAATCTATTCCAATTGTATCACTATTTTCTACAAGATTTCTACCACTGGATTAAAGGATAGGCTACTTAAAAGTGATTAATGCCACTACTTTCTAACTTTCCATCCATCATGTCCCACCACAAAATATAAAACTGAATGATATTATTAGCTTAATAACTAAAAATTCTGTATATATTGTTTAGATTTTGATTTAAAAATTATAGTCCTTATATTGACTATAAATATTTGCAAACTTAGTTTAATTTAGAACTTAAAATATGTAATGGTAAACCATAGCTTTCTATGAAGAAAGATAAAAATTGATATATAAAATTACACAATTCGTTTGTACAGAAATTCTTCACTGCCATTTTATGAGACACGGGCATTGCAAAAATAAAGGACAAATTGCGTTTTTTTCTATTTTTTAAAATTTAAATATGTAACCGGTTTAAATACCGTTATTTTCTAGGAATTATTACATCACAAAGAATTTATTGTAATGGGAATGAACGCATGTTCGTTCTCATTGCATTAAAAGACATTAACAATTAAGCTAAAATCAGAAATTAATCTTTGAAATTACCACTAGCATTTGCTTGCTATGCAAAGGAGACGCAAGCAAACTATATCGTTTTCAATGGAACAAAATTCGACATCTTTGCCGTTCGCGTCATCGCTCGTTGCTGACGCTGAAAACTTACAAGCTGGAATCAAGGCATTAGGAAAATTTCGAGAGCTAACGGGGCGAAAATCGAAGTGATTTTCGGCTCGTTCGTTCTGTAGAGTGAGGTTATATCCTTGAAGTCATACGTAAGATGATCGAAATAGAAAATTTTAGATCGTTTGTTGAGGTTGATATAGGATATTTTCTATTAAGATAAATACAGATGATATTTTGTTAATGTAAAATAATATTAGGCCAATATAATCATTTCAACGAATTACACTCTTCTAACGCTCACGGATACCAAAATTAAGACCAGAGTAAACAACGGTTGCGTCAATTACTAATCATTTCTTCTGGCAGACAGTTGAAATAGGTGATTGGTTGAAGTCATTGACGTTCAATGTCATCTTAATTTTTTTTCACACGTACTGTACAATGTGTGGAAAAAAATTATGCCAACATGGTAACTTGCCTACCTAATCAATTCAAAATATTTACAATGTTCTCTTATAGGAATTTTTGCTTTTTATTTTATTTGTATTTTTTATTTTTAATTAATTCTTTCCACCCTGTGGGCACAAAGAGGGCATCTTTTAGCAAACACATTATGCATTTGTCCTGGCCCACAATGGAGCGGCCGGGTGATGGGGGACGGGGCCCGACATATCCGGTCGGACCAACCCCCAAAAAATTCTTGGAGATTTTTCCATCCGTCCGGATTCAATCCCGGGTCCTCCAGAGCGGTCGGATGTCACCTTGACCACTCCAAATAAATGAACGAGGTATTAACCTACTTTAATTAACTATTAAGAATAAGCTCGTAAGATTATAACGAAATTTTATGATAAAGCAAAATTTCAGTATAATCTTTTATCGCAAAATCACTATACTGCACAACCACGGCAAAACATAAACACCATGCCACTGAAATAATTGTAAAGTGGGTACGGCGTAAGCCTCAATTTCTATTTTATACCTCTTCGATTCTTGAATTTTTCTGAAATGCCTTTCGGTAAATTTGTAATACTACATTATATGATTCGGATATTGTGATTAATATTAAAGAACATCATTCGTTGTAGCGGGAATTCGGATTCTAGGGTATAACTGTACTTCGTTCTATGCAAAAAAAAGGCTTTCTTGTAGTTATCGAATGAAAAAGATACATACTGTCTTCAACATGATACATATTTGGTATGAAATCCTAAATGTAGACACACAAAATATTTAATATATTTACTCAATATTTACTACTAGAAATCTCGAATCTACTAGAATCTTGTATTTCTCTTATGCTTTCTTTTAACGAAAGTAGCAGATATGAGTGTCTGCAAGAATCTGATAAATGGATGAACGTATGTGGGTGACCCTCTTGCCTACTGCCCACCCCTTCTGGGAAATGGGCGTGAAGATATGTAATGTATGTAGAAAATAACAAATGTAATTTATAGAAAAAAAATCACTATTTTCTAATAATAAAAGTTTAAATCACTTTATATAAATAATCAATAATTGCCAAAATTTTTTCTATAGAATAACACTGTTCACTCATAACAATTTAGGGTTAATGTCCAGATACGTGGACCATCATGGCGGCACTTCCTGTTTCAGCCTCGAAACCAGACGGTTTGCAGACGACGTGTCACGTGACGCACCGACGCACGTTCTAACCTAACCTAACCTATTCTAATAAATTAGCATAATTATTACCAATTATATTATTAGAATAGGTTAGGTTAGGTTAGAATGTGCGTCCCCACTGTTTCCTTTGCTGGAATCAGCGATGAGGCGCTATGACAGCCGCCGACGCTGCCGCGGCGCAGCAGCCTCCGCCGTTCGCTCGCGTCGTCACGTGACACGTCGTCTGCAAACCGTCTGGTTTCGAGACTGAAACAGGAAGTGCCGCCATGATGGTCCACGTATCTGGACATTAACCCAATTTAGATAATAAAACATATACCTGTAGATATAAACATTATCAAACTATATATTAAAAGAAACCACCTATTTTTTAAAAAAGTGAATAAATGTACTCTTTTGAAACTGTCAAAACCTCAAACTTTAAGTAACTTAGTTAACCCTTCTCATGCCAGAGAGTTGAGTTGTATTTTTAAGTTGTCAAATTGTATTTGTATTTAGGTCAAGAAGCAAATATTTTTATACTAGAATATTATTTTGAAATTTTTTTAATTCGAAAAACTTAAGAATATCAATTTATAAAAACAATACAAATTGTTTTTGTAAATCTACAGTACCATAATGATACTAAAGGTTTTTATTTTTTAAAATTCTAAACCAAAATTAATTTTTAAATTATAGATTCTTAACAAAGTTATAAATTGTTATAACTTTTAAATTAATAAATTTAACACTTAACTAATTTAAAAGTTACTTTCATAAATTAATGAATTCATTTTACAGATTGATTTTTGTATTATGATTTTGAAGTGAATTGAATGTGATAAAAAATACATTGAAATATTTTCTTGATAATTATGGTATAAATCATCTTTTTCTATAAATTTTCAGAATATTCTTAGTATAAGTGTATTCTTTGAAAATATATACCAAACAAGTGCAATTATTTTCAAATTATAAAGAAAGTGAATCATTATAGAACAAAATTATTCATATTTGTTTATCAATAATTAATTTATTGTATACAAATTACATAATTTAAAAACCATATCGTTTATGTATGTACAAAATGTCAGGACATTTATTTCTATAAATTTTTCACAAAAAAATACCTCTTAGAGGTGTACACATCAATTTATATTCTCCTAGAGACAACATGTAAAAAATAAAGTTACAAAAAAAAGGTCATTTACTCGTCTTTCTCCACCACCAATTCAAATCTGTTAAATGTATAAAATACAAGTATTCAAATTTGGTAATATCACGTGTATTGCAAAAACAAAATGGTGACTTAGTTAGAGAGCACTTATACTGGCAATATACATTAGACAATATACAATATGCCATGTAATGACCTGAGATTAACAGTGCAATAGGGTCACATTTGTGATCCTGGACTACATATAAACACCTGAGTACAAATACAGGTATCATGACCTGACTTTTATCTAAATTTTTCAATAAATAAATCTAAGCTACATATATATAATTTGCTTTGTACACTGCAAATGTGCTTGCATTGTTCGTAAAAAATTCACACCACACAAACTGTACAATGGAAATATTTCAATATCTCAATACTGATGATAATCATTAGTAATTGAAAATATTGAAAAGTATAGCAAAAAGAGTGCATGCTGCATAGACACCTAATGCTGCCCACCATAATAATTGTTCATAAAACTTCTGATCAAAGTTTTTCAACACTAACAATCCAATTGTCAATCCAGCAAATGCACCAGTAAGATGAGCCACGTACGAAACTGGAGTGCCTTCTTGATTGCCAGCATACCGATCATAAATAGCAACACCAACATCAGCACTAGCTGTAAAATAACAATAAATAAAGTAAGAACTTTGAAAAATCAAACAAAAAATTATTCATTTGTAAAACAAATCATGCATATACATTTATTAATATCATTATACAACTATACAAAACTATTAGTATGGTTTTAACTACCTTGAAGATATTCTTTGTTGTTATAGAAAAAGAAACTATGTTCTAAATTATATTAACAAATAAATTATATTATTAACAAAATTAAACAACTAAAAGATCTTAATAACCATATACTAAATACTATTTCTTAATTTATAAATAAACAAATTATTAGAAATTTAGTAAATAACATAATTGAAAATAGAACAAAATGCATAAAATTATTTTTAAATTATGATAGTTTAAAATACTTCTAATAAAATTCTTTTTTACATTGGATTTTTTATAGTGCTTTCACAGAAAGAAGTAATCTAACTAAAGATATATACATTATTAATAATGTCATATTTTTGAACAAGTATTTATTTATACATTTAACATAGAAAAATGAATATATTTAAAAATTAATTTGACAATTAAAATAAAATACTATATGTGTATTTTGTTATAAACAGATTAAGTGATGCCACTGACATTGACAGACATTTTTGAGTAACTTTAGAAATTTTAAAATAAAATTCACTTTACAAAAGATTTCAATAGAAAACTAATTGGAATAAGAACTGATTTCAAGATTTACTGTATTACATTTTTTGTGGTATATAATTAGTTTTAAAAGGTTAAAAAATTATTTCTAGGAAAATCTATGTACTGTAATTTCATAATTATCATGATATGAAAATAGAATGTGATCAACTATTTAGCACTGCAGTTATAACTGAAAATTCTTGTGAAGTTTTAACAGATTTGTGATTTCACTTAATTTAATTTTCAAACTTTATTCCAAAAATTTTAGTTTTCTCAGAAATAATTAACTCTACAGTAATATGTAAACATCAAAAATATCTGTAATAGCAAAATGTATTAGAAGAGACAATATTTCAATTTGTCAAAATAGCAGTAGTCAACAGAAAAACAAATTTAAACTTCATAAATTTTACTTTGATTTATACATATGAATGTAAATGTAAACCTGTCATGTTTTGCTACATGACAGTTAGAATAAATACTTTTGCCATATATTCCTAATATTTTTATATATTCAAAAATGGTTTCATATAATTTTAAATTATCAATATTAAAATAGTGGCATTTGTAACAAAATATTAATTCAAATAAGTATTTTTATATTTGTTAATAATATCAAAATTCTATCAATAAATATGATTCATTATTTCATATCTAAACTTTATTAAAACTGAGCCTATTGAAGATACTATGATGTCTTTCTATCAAATCTTAGCAAATAAAAATATGAAATATAATTATGTAAGTTCTTTCTATTATTATTTACTTATAAATAAAAATAATTACTATTCAATAATTATGTCTTTTGGATTTTGGAATAAAGTACAGTGGTACCTCAGGTTACGAACGCCCCAGCATACAAAATTTTCAGGATACGACATGAAATTCGAACATATTTTTGCTCCACGATACGAACAAAAACTCACCATACGACGTTACATTAGTTCACATTTTTCATTTGTTTTTCTTACTACAGTTATTTTTTTTAATGTATTACTTGGCTTTAATTTGAGTATGTTTTTCGCGTTGGAACAAATTATTTGGTTTTACATGTAATCGTATGGGTAAAGATGATCCACCTTATGACATTTTCATGATACGATCTCAGTTTCGGAACGGATTAATTTCGTATCCTGAGGTACCACTGTAGTTCAAATTTTAAATCTTCAAAGTATATTTTACATATTTAAATTTTTGAACTCTATATTTCATTTATGTTTTGTCATCAAATATCAACTACTGTTTTCACTAATCATTTCTCTCTCTGTTCCATCCATATATTGTCTCTGTTGACGTTAAACAGGCTATCTAATTATATTAACTATAACACCGTAAACATCTTTAAAATCCAGTAAAATATTTAATTTAACAACAAGAAATAAATACACTGACAAACATTTTCAATCCTGATTGGATCTTCTTCAGGTTTGTTCTATTAGAATCAAAAACATTTGTCAGTATATATATGTCATTGTTCAATTAAATGTTGTACTGGATTTTAAAGGTATTTATGGTATTATAGTGATTACAGATATCCAGTTTTAAGAAATTACTACAATTATATTAAGCTTACTGTATTTTAACATTAACTCATTTCACTTCCAGTTACATTACTTAATTCAACAATTATATCTTCTTAATCTTACTTCTGCTTTACAATCTAACATTTTTCACTATAGAAGTTTAATATATTTAAATGTATTGACCATGTGATGTTTGTCTCTAGATCTCCTCATTGTTTGCTATCTTATCTTTTGTTTTTCATGTTAGATATTCCTTATTCAATCACTATTCTTCAGATTCCCTGTATCTTTACTCTCTTCTTAGTATTAGTCTCTTCAAATAACACATCTGTTAATCTATTCATAGAAGCCAAGTCATATTTTGCCAATACATATAATCTTCACTTAGTGTGTGTTCATCTAATATTCTTGAACTCACTCATTACTTTATTATTATTCAAATTTTATACACAAATAAGAATGACTATTTATGTAAATAATTATTATTTATTTATACAAAATGAAGTAATTATCAGAATAATTAAAACTCATTTAAGACTCATAAGAATATAAGACTCATTTTCATTTTTCTCTATAAATAAAAAGACTTTTCATATACAGTAAAATCTGTGTAAAGTGGAATAGCATGTTAGTGAATACCTTTTCTAGTTTAGCAGGTTTCCATTTTGAACAAGTTTGTTTAACATAGAATATTGCTCTGTTCTAAAGAATTTTTTCTGTTTAGGCAGGTTTCCATTTTGGACAATTTTACATTATCTTTTTGATTTTTTTTTCACTTAATAAAATTTGAACCTTTTCATGAGCTTAACAGGTATATTTTGATTTATACTTAAGAATTAAGTTAAAATTATATTATCTTTTGAAATGACAAAATTAATTGTTGGTGAAAATATAATTTAGAATTATTCTGATGTAATTAATTATTATTATTAATAATTTATTGATAAAAAGTAAAATTTCTGTTGTAAAGTTAAGTAAATTAATTAGTTAAATTTACATTGTTAAAATTTAATTTAATTCTAGAAAAATCTGCTTAAAATATTTTTCAAAACTTCTTTACTTTCTAACCAAAAGCTAAAGAAATTAAATATATATTCTTACACTAAATAGCAATCAGCAGCAATAATGCTGAAAACTTTAACATTTAACAATTATTACTATAGCATATCTAATTCAAGAGATATAAGAGTAATATAACTTTACTTTTTTCTTTCCTTTGTAAGTCAAAGAAAAGAAAAAATATATAAAGGGTAATAGAAAAATGAAATATATAGGCCTACCATATTCAATTGAACATTATTAATATACTTGTAATCATTTAAAGATTATTTTTGCCAAATATTACATTTGTCTTAAACATGCCAAATATTTAAACCTCTACTCAAAAATTTTACTATCATTAAATTTAAATTATACACTTTGACAATTCATATTATTTTCATATAATCATTCAAGGTTTCTATAATGTAACCATTTAAATTCTTCAATCAAAATTTATTCCATACTAACTTGTAGCTTATTTACATAATAAAATTCCTATATATAAATATGCAAATACAATTCAGAAGAATTCATAACATCTAATTTATGGGTGATATTATTTAAATGTAAAATATATTTTCTTTTTACATAATCAAATATGAAAAAATAAGTGTCTTAGGCACTATCTCATTCTGTTTATTTTATCCACTAAGGAATGAAATTTTGACTAAAATAAGCTGGATAAAATAATTTTTAATTTTTTAATTTATAATAAATTCATTGAAATTTTCACTCATTATAAAACCATAAATCAGTCTGATTTAAGATGTAAATAACTTTCAAATATTTATAAATGTTTTTGAGGAAAAATATCTAATCTTCATTCTTACAGCTCTTTATGTAAAGGAATAGCATAAATTTAACTCGCATAAAACTCGTATGGATTAGATTAGTAGGAAATTAGGGAAAAAGAGAACACAGCTGAGGAGGAGAGGCTCTGGATTTTTAAGGAAGATCTACACAAATGAGTAGTTAATATCAAAATTGCAGAAATCCTTTCTTATGCATACAAATGGTATCTATGACATAAGAGTACACGAGAACAATACTCACAAAGTACACAGTAGAAGGTGTACAGAGTTCATTCACTAAACTCATAATGCATCTTCTCCATTTTTGGTTATTGTCATAATGTGTTTTTAAAGTTTAAACACTATGATGTAGACTGGTTTAATGGTTTTCAAATTATTGAAATTTTATGGATACGTTCACATTAGTTTTTTCATGCTGCCTCTGAAGATGAGCTACTACTTAGCATGAAAATACAGAAACATTTTTGAAATTTTATTTGCTCCTAAAGAAAGTGGTGTGGAATTGTTTATTATAACAAATTTATTTGAAATATCTAATGAAATTATAAAATTGTTTATAACATTCAATCTAAATAGTTAAACTTCTTATATGAATAGATATTTTAACCATATACAAAAATTTGTAGAAAAATTGTTTTATTTGTACCATTTTTAAATTTTTTTTTAATTTTAATTTATGTATTTTACCTTATTTTATTGTCAAATTTCATATTTACTGTTATCATTACATTATATTTTAATTGAGATGAAAAATTTTTATTTTGGCATCCAAAATAGCAAGACCTATATTCAAAAAAGAAATTAAAAATTTTATTTACGCTTTTATTCTTTAACATGTTATTCCTTTATAATCAGGAACTAAGTATCAGATTAGATTATTTTTGTCTAAATATTTTTAACAACTAGTTTTCTGATTTGTATTTTAAATTTCACTTAATTAATTTTATTAGATTTTTTTCATATTTGATTAGAAATAATATGTAGGAATAAGATTATTACATAAGTCTATATATAATTTTTCACAAATATTTACTTACCAATAATTATAACTCCTATCACTCTTATTATTCCAAACTCCATTTGATTATAATTCTGAAAAAATGAAACAAATATATTCTACAATTTGAAGAATTCATAAACAAATCTGTTTTCTTATAAATTTCATTAATTAATAAAATTCATATATAGTTAGGTCTTAAAAGTACAACTCAATATATGAATCATTTATGAGCTATAAAACTTGGAAAGATAAAAAAAAATATATTAAATTCTTATCTATACATTTTTTAGTATGAAATTAGAAATTCATTTGGAAGATCTGCAAATATTTAGTCTATGACATGACTTTATTCCAAATTTTGGCTCTATAAATATTCCTGAATAATTTTATATTTTATTATAAATACAAAATATAAAAATAACTGAAAATAATTACTTTTAAATTTTTTTTGTTTTTAAATTTGCAATTGTTTGCTATACTTTATACAAAGCAATTTAATAAACACCAAGTTGAAATAAGTAATATGCATTATTTCAAAGAATAATATTTTCATCCTCTAAATTAATCAAAATATAGCTCTTGTGTAAACATCATAATATCTATTTTATTAAATATTTTTGAAATTTATTCACTAACTTCTGAAAAAAGCTAAGAAGTTAAACAATAAAATACAAAGTTAAAAATAATTATTAGATTTTATTTTTTTATATTTATTTTTTAATACTTAACAGCTTAATCATTATTTCCATTTTTGAACTGCGTCTTAAATATATTATTATTCTAATTAATAATTTACTACTGTTTACATTGCACAGAGTTTTTACACTAAAACTTCATTTTACATATCCAATTTGTACTAATAAGCCATATCTTTATTTCTCAAGTACAAATGGAGCTATTTTTATACTATATTTTTGCTATTATTTACCATTAAATTTTTTTCATTATATTATAATTACACTAACACAGAAAATTTTGGATAACATCTAATTCATTACTGTTGTTGCAATCATTACTGATCAACAAAAATATAATTTGTTTTGATTTAGTTTTTTTGCTTTTTAGATGTTTCTTATTTATGTCCTAATCATTGTATTATGCTAACAAATAAACAAAAATTATTTATTACATTCTGTTGTTTGAATTTTTGTAGTTAATATTTTCTGAAGATGAGAATAATCTCCAAAATTATTACCCAAAAAAAATTATGATTTCAGTATGCTAGTTTAAGAAATAACAAATTCAATTCTAATTTTGATTATAAATTGTGACTCTTATTTATTTTTATTCTAAAAATTAATATGCATAATCAGTAATGTAACTAGAACCAATATTAGGAGAGGGATTGAATTAGAACATGCAAACCTGCATTTAGAAACATGTATATAATATCCAAACTTTTGGATATTATATATATAAGTTTATAAATGCATTTGTTACATTCAAAGCTTTTTCCTGTACTTATTTGATTTTTCTTACTTTATTTACAAGGGTAAGTGAACCCGTGCACCCGAGCCCTTCTCCAGTTACACTACAGCATATAATGGAATTGGTAAATTGTAATGTTGTAATACTAACCAATAATACATTTGCTAAATGAGCTGCTAAGAGAGCATAAACTCCACCAGATGCACCAACAAGAAAAACATCTGTATCAAAGACTGAGGTACCAAGTGAACCTAAAAAATATAATTATTATTATTTTATTTTCTAATTTTGTAGTCAATCTTAATTTTTAAGTTAAAAGCACATATTTTTTTCCAAAATTAAGCAAAAAAAGGCATATATTAATTGCAAATTTTTTTTTTAATTTATAGTGGTAAAATTTGGTAATAAAATAAATTTATTTATTTTCATAACATTTGAAAAATATTTTGATAAAAATAAGTTTTTGTTATTTTGTTCTTATTAATTGGAAAACCATTGCTCTTTAATTATTTTTAAACTTTTTAATGTAAAAATGAATGTTTACATAATATCATTTAATTTTATATTGATTACAAGTTAATTAATTATATGGAGCATTTAGATTTATATAATCATGCACGTTTTTGACACCAGATGGCGCCAAAACATTTTAAATAAAGCTATTTAATAATTTAATATTTTTACAATTAAAATCAATTATTTTATATGTATAATGCGTAAAATTACCTGCAACTACACCAGCCATATAAACCGTTCCTATTCTGATGGATCCGTGCACCATTTCTAGCGGTATTCCTACTAGTACTTGAACGAGTAAATTAAATAATAAATGAAGCCACCTATAAAAAAAAAGCAAGATAAAAAGTATATTTAAAAAATTAAAATGAAAAATTTCCAATTAAAAGAAACGACTTTGAAACAAGTTTTGTTTTGTACTCTATCTAACAATATTCTTTTTTTCCTTGACCTACTCTGAATATGACAAAGAAGCTTATTACTTACCCACTGTGGAGAACCATGTAGAAGACAAACCTCCAAATTTCAGTCCTTTTATCCGGACGATAAATAAAAAAACTATCGATCGGGACTGTGCTGGTCGTCGTAATCTCACCCATGGTTACTGAGTAATAAGTGAAGACACCTAACTGCAATGGGAGAGAAACGTGCTTCAGTATAACATTTACACGCAATTAATATCAATAAGTAGTAATTGTACAGTTATATATGAATATAACGTACGTGAAACTCTATAGGAATTATAGAAATATTTAAAAAATTAGCATTTCGTAATTTTTATTGGCCTTTCTGTAAGTACACACACATATATAGCGACCTACTTAAAATAGTGTTTAATGACAAAAACTGCGGTAAGGACATCATTATTCATTGAATATAATTCAGTTCTGACATCATTGTGCAAATAGCAATGACCGAATCCCGTTAATCTCGTTAGTGTAAAGAGATAAAGTTACTTCTTATCGTGTCCGGCACATTTCTGAAACTCACGTGAGGGCAAGTTTAGACGAGCGCGGATCATATGATCAATTTGCCTGTTTTGTCGTGTGGCCGCTACGTAAGCAATAAAACATCGACTACACTGGCTTTTAAACTACAGATTCGAATGTTTTAAAAATTATTCATTGGTTATCTATACACGGGACCGAAGAATTCCTAACACAGACATTTTATTAATTGGGCGGGGTAGTTAGTTTAAGCCACTACATTGTCCATAATAAAATTTACATTTATGTAACTATATAATGGACTAGTGTATACGATTTTTAAGCTTGTATCCTGTCCATTTCGTGTCCAATTCGAGCGAACAAGCATTCTGTTGCTAGAATATACCTTAAACGTCACCCAGTCGTGGCTGAGGTAAATATAGACGAGGACGACGTTCTCTGAAAACAGCTGAATCTCTGGCTTGTTTTTGTGTTGCGTTCCGTCGTTGTACATCACAGAATGTTTGAATATAGTACGTCTCGATTTTTCGACCAATCGGTAATATCGACGATTAGAAAACGAGAAGTAAATGAATATATTTTTTTAAGTCGATGTTTCGTCTCGAATTTTGTGTTTAAAATAGAGAAAACTGGCAATTTCGATATCGATGTTAAACAAGCCGTGCACGGTTTGGTATAACGTTGCCGTCCATACAAAGGCAGCATCTTCTAAGGTAAAAGCACACGTTCAAGGTCAAAGAAACTATGAACGGGAGAGAATTTGGCAAGCATTCAAACGAAGATGGTTCTGTTTTTCGAAGCGTCATCCAGGCGTCTGTCAGATATCCCTATTGTCTCCCGTATCATTAGCGTGCGGTGTAGGGAGTTGGTCGCCTTAAATGCTACGGATGCCTTTAACGAAGAGGAAGAGGTCGCGCGGGTCGCCGGCGTTTGACCTATCACCTCTCCACCTGATGACGTCACTGTCTCCGAGCGTTTCGCCCCCATCAATTCGGTGCCAACACCGCCCAAGTTAAAAGATTCTGGCCTACACGTCTCGTGGCACCCAAACTGTCAATGATCTCCGCTCTTGTTTCGTGTAGCAAACAGTAGATTACTTGTTTTTTTTTTAGAAGTAAGAATAATAAAATAAATTTCCTTAAAATTTTGCTTTATTTCAAAGAAATAAAACGTCATTTTTATGGTAGAGCAACGTTACGCTTAATGTTAAAAGAGATTGCCGCAGCAGAACAAGATCCTGTAAGAACATAGAAAAAAGCTGGCCTTTCTTTTTTCTGTGCATCGATGCCTGAATAACTCAAGGTGCGGCAAGCACAATCGTTCGTTTTCCGATTTTAGGTCATGTGTCTGTTTTCGTTTTCTTTTTTTAACACGTCGAATCCCTTTCGTTTTCATATCTTCTATATATCAAATTTCCGTCGCTTTATTATTTATACGTAGCATGTACACGCAAAAAATAAAAACGCATACGTGTATAATTCTTACATACTGTATACTATGTTGTAATGTAAATGTATACGTGGCTGTTCGTATATGTATTTTGTGTGTACCATATACAATTAACTGAAAATGTGTGCACGCATATTCATTTTTTTTTTTGTAAATAGCATGTTCGTGATATTTATAGATGGGTACTTAAATGTTATAGTGACAACAGTAACTATAAATAAAGCAGTAAAAGTTGGATTCCAAAAATCGTAAATAAAATACATAGCCATCACCCATCCATTTACTATCACAAACGAATTCATTGTTGCATTCTACACGTACATGTCATTGTCAATCGTCCCAACGGGATGCGGATGTCCAAATCACACGACAGGTGGTCCACCCAAACATCTCTTTGGTCCATATCTCCTGTTTCCGACGGACGCCCAATCCCGATACATTTCGTTGGTCGCACACCTGGACCCACCCAAAGTACTACATACCAACTCTTCCAGCTTGTATATTGCGAAATTGCAGAACGAAATACGTTACCTCATATTAATTGCATAATTTAATTAAGAATAAAGATCTATAATTTTTTTTCGTCGAATAACAACAGAACGTAGACCTATTTCTATCGATAGATCAAGTAGTCGATTCGTCAACGTCTACGTACTGTTACATTAAGTACGTAGAATTTCTTGATAGATCGTAACGTGGCGTTTTTTCGTTAAAATCGATAGCACATTTTAATTTTATAATAGGTTTTCCTGCCGAATTCTTAAAATAAGTGATTAAATAATAGGAAAAAATGGGCCAAAATGTTCAATATTAATATTTAAAAATACTTATTACAATTCAATATTATTATTTATTGCTTATTTGGAACCGTTTGTAATTCTAATTTGAATAAATTCGAAATTTTTCGTCATCGATTTATTTAGTTTTTGAAGTTAACAAATGTAATTATTATCTATTTTATTTTTAATACGCATAAATTATAAAATTGATTAATAATAAGTGACGGAAATTGAAAAGCAATTAGCTTTTATAAATTCGAAAATACCGAAATTGACAATAAATAGGTTCATTGAATTAGGCTTAATTAGTGAGAAATAGGTATAGAAGGTGGGATACTCACCTCGATCAGAGTTACGACGATGACAAATAGGGGAGGAGGAAAACATGTGTAACGGTCGGCGTAATATTCTCGATTTCGTTCGTCACTGAGGTAAGTGTGAGTTAATGCATAAACCATCCTTCCAAAAAAACTAGGCGATGTCGTCGTGACCAATTCCACATCTGGGAGCCTATACAAAGGCTGCAACGGCCTCATCTGTAATATAGGAAAATAACACTCAGTATTCTGTTACAGAAGCGGCTATCTGCAACTTTACGCTTCCCGATCAGAACCAATGGGATGCACCTCGCGAGGAAGTAGCGATGATACTGCACAGGTGTCCTCCTAGCAAATGTCGGTTTAGGTGATATAGCCATTTCGCCTCTTTCGCTTAACCGTATTTTTTCATTCTTTTACTTTATTTCCATGTTCGTTTCTATATGTAACTGCGATTTAAAAAAAAATAAAAAAAAACTTTATTGGATGATAGATTTTTAGCGTAGTTTACAAACTGGTTTGGTGATCGGGTTAATTGCCTTTAGTGTTCTCTCTCTCCCTTCCGACAATTTCCTTGGGGATAAACAATGTGTATCTGATACACATTTACTTTGCCGTCTGTAGCAAAGAGAGCATTGTAGGGGTTCGTTAGAAGTCGCTTCTGGTAATATGGGCTTAATATTGTCGAGATTAATTGTACAACTACAGAAAAAAAAAATAAGAAATGTGAACTCGCTCGTTGTTAAACATGTTTTCGAAATTGCTTGACCAGATTTAATCGTAAGACCTAGAACCTGAAAAGTAAATCTTTATCTGGTTAACCTAAAATAATACGTAGGAAAATCTTTTTGTCTTCAAATTATCGTATTTGGTAATATTTTTAAAATCTGTATTTGTTTAATTTTTTGCTATAGACGAGTTGTAACGATTACGCAAGACAATTATTTACTTGTCTTTGAATGCTGTAAACTAAACGACCTTTATTCCTTTTTTTATTTATTTATTTTTGACTAATGGTTTATGCAAATTATTTGTAAAAACTTAATCTCTTTACAGAAAGATGCGTCATTCCGAATGCTTTGCATATCTTATTGTAAAATAAAATTACTCATCATTTGGTTCAGTGATTTATCATCTCTAAAAAAATGAAAAAAAATCTCGTAATGTCACATTTGCAAATGTATTTTTAAAATAGACGGTGTCACTTTCCTTGGTTAAATTAAATACAGTATTAATTAGTGTATATTTGTGAAAATATGCAATATTATTTGCATTGAAATAATCGAATGTAAGTGAATGAATATGTAATAATCGAAAATTATTCCAATCCTGTAGGTTGTGACTCGCGTCTACAAGATTGCCTTTATCCGACAATCAGACTTTTCCTTTTGGATATATCAGCCGATACTCAATTATTCAATAACATCATCATTCTGATTTTTTATCTTGTTAAATACAGCATGATTTCTATGAGAACAAAGCAAAACTATATCTATTGTCGATAAGCAAAGAGGAACAGATGGGCCAGCCGTTCTGGACCCAAAGCAGATGGTAAGTGGAAAAGGGTTCTTTGCCTTAGGTGATGGCGGACAGGTCGTTTGCTAGCTCGTGCACCAGAAACTTTTACGACCGTATAAAACTGTTAATGCTGAGTAGATTTAAAGTGTAATTAAAATCATAATTAAGAATTGGTATAAAAAATATGATGCGTTTGATAGTTCTACATAAAAAACACTACACATAAAAGAACGGTGATCTATCCATAATCTAATTTATTGCACAGAACTAGGACAAATAAAATATATAGTCATTTTAATCGATTCTTTAACACATTAGTCTATTAATGAATGAATTACTCTTAAATTTTTTGTGTAGTAATTTTATTTGATTTTTATACCGATATTGCGTATTTGTATAAAAATCAAAACAGAAAATCATACGATTATGAAACTGTAATTAATAATATAAGTAATAAAAGTCGTATGTTGGTATCATCATCGATTGAAATTAGAAAAATCTGCCTCTTATGTTTCGCGTGAAAAGAAAATGTTATGTCAAAGTAGTCATACTAAATTGGCAACTTCTTATCCCGGCTATTTTGTCGATCTGTCGTTTTTCTTGTTGCAAGCTCCATCACCTTCAAATGGAGACTCAAGAACGTTGAAGGGGGATGAATAGGGGTATCTAATAGCCACGTGGCCCCAATAAATAGTAGGGACGGTTGTATGGAGTGAAAAACTAGGGACCCGGCAAGTTAATAGGGGCCTAGGGGATAACACACAAAGAAGCAAGCTGCAACGAAAGTTAGCTTAACACCTGCCGAAAGGTAGGCAGCTGCTCCAGCTGGACCCCTAGGGAACGTGTCCACTGTTCCGAGATTTATAGATACTTTCTTTACAGGAAATCTACTAACGAACCTACAGATCGGTTAATTGGAATTTTTCAATCATAACGCATTTTACTCTCCAATCGGAACACTTTCCAAAATTATTACGATTAAGCGTACGGTACGTTTAAAATACGCTACGATTCGTTTAATCTAGTAATATTTCTTACGTACGGCGTTTAAATAAAATAAATTGAGCAACTAATGAAGAAGAGATAAAATTAAATCGCACAAAACAAGCCGTACTCACCCATGTCACCCGGCCTAGCTCCACACAGCAGTTCCCATCGCCTTGCTTCATGCTGGGACTGGCAATGCGTCCTCGCTTCACGTAGTCATTCTGCCAACTGAACTGACGTACAAGCCGACTGAGCACGTGGTGGCCTGCGTCATTTCCTGTCTGGCACGTGGGTGGTCACCTCGACTAACGGAAGTCTCACCAGCTCCACCCTCTTCCTACACTACCTGACCTACTGTGTGTGGTCCAGAGGGTGCGGGGCATCACGGGAAGGTGAGAACAGACCGCGTAGTGTTAGGAAACCTTATTTTTATAAAGGTATACGTATTTCGGAGGTAGGATTTTAACAAGAACGATCACAAAATTTTTAAAATCCGATGGGGTGCGTTCGAATCTAACGGAAATTATTATTTACTCGATTTTATGTTCCCAGTGTGAAAATAATTTATACTGTAAATATAAATTTCAAATGAACGACTACCATTAGCCTAAAATTTAGTTTGCATATTCTTGTTACGACCCGCACGAAACACGACTCGACGTCGTTTAGCCTTGTTTCTCCTTGGCAGAAATATCCATTAAAACATCTGTGCCTAATTCCACGTCGAATTATATAGCGTTATATCTACTATTACATCTCTCTTCAGTATTTAAGTTGCATCGTTTAATTTTACACAATAGCACTTTTGTTCCGCTGGCTAACTTTGTAGTTTTACCTACAGTTATAACATCAACAAATAGGCGTTTAGTTTTTTCCTGTTTTAAAATGCCAATAAATCCCCGTTAGCTACATTACAAAACGTTTACAGTTTGAGCAGTTTGGTAAATTTCATCGGTTCCACCGTGCATACGTTTTGAGGTTTCAACACATTATAATTATTATAAATTTTCTTAGCTTATTGTTCTTTTCTTCGATTATTTTTGGATTTATTCTAGTGGAAACCCATTATCGAGATTAAAATGCAAAATAATATTAAAAATTAAATCCCAGGAAAATGACAATGATAAGTTTGTAAAGTAAAATAGATGGGAGCTTATTGGTCGTTGTTAGAAGGAAATTTATTTGAAAAGAAAGAAGCATGAAATGCATGCCAATTAACAGGTTTATATAAAAAAAAAAAAAAACTAGACGGAATTATTTTCTCCACTTGAAAGAATTTCGTAAACAGCCAGCTGTATATGTGCACTCTTCAGTACTGCACGTCGAATACCTAAGAATTGTATCTCGTGCATTATCATTTTTGGCAAATCAATAATTATAACTATAAAATATACAATCAGTCACTCGCGTGACTAAGTTAACGATTATGGAAAAAATACCTTTGCAAGTGACGTAATTCTTTACGGAAGGAAGAATGCGCAGACTTCGCCCTTGAACTGCTTTCCCCTATACTTTAGTCGTTTTTTTTTTTCTTGCAGACGACACCTCCATTTGTTTTGTCATTTCTGTCATTAGATTATATTTAGACGCTGAATTAAAATCGAGCGTTGCACGCAAGAAATACATAACCTTAGACGCTTAAATGTTTTAATGAGATAAATATTCATTTTAAAAATGGCTTTTGTAATAAAAATTTACCTTGGAATTTTCATTTTTTGATTATTAAATAAACAATTATAATGAAAATCTTCATGGACGTTTCTCAATCCTAGGGAAATCATATTCTTTCAAAATATTTATTTTACGTACTTTTGTATTTCTTCTAAATTAACTGTCTTAATTAATTTCTATATTAATTAAATGCCAAACCATTTATTCTGCTTTATTTTATACGATTTCAATTTTATTCCCGTAAATCCTGTTAGTCGTTGTTTTTCATTTTTATTAAAAATAATGATTAATAAAGTTCTCTAGTAAAAATATCAACAAATATTGACATTATTTAATGTTATGAAATGACTCTCAGAAATTTAAATTTCAAGAAATTAACGGTATAAATAAATTAATCATTCGTAAAAATCATTCATTTAAAAACCAACATTATAATTGGGTAATTTTTTTTTTNCGAATTCTTCGTTAATAAATCACTTGGTCCAGTTCGGGGAGGAGTGTTGGTCTCCACCTGTCATTACTCAGTTAATAGTATCATAAATAAGTCAGTCTCCCTTACTTTGTAAGTCTTGAAACAATCTGTCCATAGACATGGAACAAACTGATATATGGATAATCACGTCTTCACACCATTCGTTACAATGGGCCCCGTTAGGAATTTACCGAAGTCTAGGCTATTCACTCCTTTGTACTAAACAATAAACCGATCATTCTAATTATATATGCAGTTTAAAAGATAGTCAGTCCATAAATGAATTTAATATTTGCTATAAACTGATAATGAACTAAATTTTTCACTTGTAAAAAAATTCGAATTTTTCTGCAACTTTTGAAAGATTAGAGAAAAAAAGAAGAAGAAGAATTCTTTCTTCTCCATCTCTTTGACATGCTAAACATTTCATTGTCACATAATATTGATATTAAAATTCAGCTTCGTAGTGTAACAACATCGATTAAAATTCACGGCAACATCTTCAACCAGATTGGCACAGAACTGTTCATTCCAAACTGAATACAAATATAAAATCTCCGTCTTCGCGTATTTTTTTAGAAGCTCAGTGAATTTTTTATTGATTTGAAAAGTAGTCGGAGCACAGAAATTAATTTAGTAAAAAAAATTTAAAATATTTATTATACAGATATAAAAGTAATAGGCCTGTATAATGAAAAACTAAAATGTGCATTAATTTGTAGTAAAAATTCAATGAAATTTAGTCAATTTATACAGAAAAAATCTATAATAAGCTTATAATTTTTCATTTTTCTGTGGAATTATATTTAAATTAGATAAATTGGAAAACGTAAAATCAATTATAACGATATATTAACTTAGCTATTTAACTTATATTTACACACTGCTTATGGGCTATATAGCTATTGCATATATATTCTATATGTGTTTTTTATGTGTAATATAATACTTATACTGTATATTTAATTTCTTAATATAACTAGTTGAAATTATATAAGTTATACTTTATAATATAATTTATTGTGTTTCTTATAACTTAGTAAATCAATCATTATTAACCTCGATAATTTGTCTTTTAAATTAATAAGGAAAAAATCAGCTCTGAAAATAAGTCAAAATTGATTATACCAACGTAACTGCAAATAATTTTAATTTAACTTTATAAAATGTAATTTAAAATAGGATTTTAAGTAGCGTTAAATTCACTCCACCAAAAATTTATTATTTAGGTTGATAATATTTTAAATCCAATTAGCATTGACCGCAGAACAATTTATCCTGAAAAATTTTATTCGTTTAAAATATTTTTTAAGTAAGTTACTCTCTTACTTACATAATTTTTTTTTTTTACTTTCAAAACAAACTTTCAGTAAAATATTAAAATTAGTTTATTTTATTTTATAGATAGAACCTATTAATAATTCGTTTTCATTTTTATATAACATACTTTTAATATTTTCATCAATTTCTGAATATAGAATTTTTAATTAATTTTTATGATTTTAAAATAATCATCAATTGTTTTTTCAATAAAATTTATAAATTAAATTTCGTGATTATTATCTTAAGCACTATAATATAATTTACTAGTATAAATATATATAATAAGTTTTTATATATACAAAAAGATTTCGGTATTCACTGATTTGTCAACTGATCTGCATTGTTTTAACTACAGTATTTCCAAAATTATTTCTAAAGTTAGCGATAGAATTAATGCCTTTTATGATATAATAAAATATATTTAGTTTTTTTTTTACATGTTTATACTAATAAAACACTTTATGGCAAAAATGCAGTTCATGTTAGTAGCAGAAAAAAATCGCTTATAAGTTCATGCATTATAAATTTCAACGTATTTTGAACTCTCGATTATCAGTCGAATTTGTTATATATAAATATGTTTGGTAAAATGCTCTTGAGCGTATAGCGAAACATTGTTAAATATAGAAGGAAGCGAAACGTCAGTTTTAATTTATCAGATTTAGTCTCCCATAGCGGAAAAATGACCCTAACATGATTGATCAACTGACCAATTCGTCTTTTACACATGATTACAATTTGATTTCTGGAAATCTCTTAATAGTTTATTAAATTACGTACGTTTTATATAACAAATATTTTATATTTATACATTAAATTTAAATAATAGAATTTACATAGCCTAATTGATTACTAATAGATATAAACATTTTAATATTTAAATTATTTCATATATTGTAAGACTGGAATATTTATTTAAAACTTTGTTTTAATAAATTATGCTAATTGAAATATATAATGAAATTATTTTATTTTATATTTTATAAAAATTGCTATTGCTTTAATTTAATGTTATTATTTATTGTGGATATCTAAAATAAATAAATAAAGTAAATATGCATACACATTTTAGATTCATTATATTAATTAAATATAATCTAATAATGCTATTTTATCTATTAAATATTAATTCAATTAAAAAGTTTAATTATTATGACGGTAATAGATTCTGAAGTTTGATTGATCGTAACTTATATTTAATTGCAACGAATGAATTAGAAAATAAACTTTTAAAGAAAACTAATTAAAAAAATTTATAATTTATTTTTTAGTTTGAGAGAAATTAATAAAATATTTTATAAACAACTAACAAAATTTAGCTGAATTTATGATGTTTTTGCTTATAAAATATATAATTACTCTTCACATTAAATAATTTAACTATATAATTTTCTATAACAAATTTAGTTTCTCGAAACAATTATTTGCTTGTTATATTTAATTTTATAAAGCGTATCTACTTAATCGAACTGATAATATTCTTTTCTGGGACAGATCCATCCCTATACAATTAATACTTAACTCATTTGTAGTAACATAGGCGTGTGCAAATTGAATCAAAAGCAGTTTGTTTTAGTTCGTTAACCCCTAAAGAAGAACTTAATTTTTGCTGAAATGTTCAACAAATCTCTTTTGTCAAAATTATTAAAGATCTTTGTGTTATATTTGAAGGAATTGTGACATTTAAATTATCTATTAGCAATATCTTTATAATAAATCTCTTCCCGAAAGAAGTTTTAAGATCCATCGTTTCTATTTTAATGTCAGTTTTTCTTCTTTTTCAGTCTTTCGAATAACGATTTCGCCGAATTAAATTTGAAAATGGCTTCATAATAGAGATCTGAAGACAATTTGTAATGTTACATACATATTTACTTTAATATGAAACGAGGAGGTTGGGAGAATTAGAAGAAACAAAAATTAATGATTTAACAATTATTCTTATCAATTAATTATGTTCCTAAGTATAATATAAAAGTATAATTTAGTTTTACATAACTTACTTGCATTAGCTACTTGTCTACACAAATCCACTTGTGTGTCGAAACAGTTTCTAGTTTATTACTATTTTTGTTTTTTTGTTTACATTTTCTATTATATAATTTATCGACTTTATAATAAAATATACTTATCGCATTTTCAATTTATATAAACTTAAGAGATTTTAATCTTGTAACTGACAATGCTAAAGATTAAGTTTCATTTTATTTTTTATTATATTATCGTCGTTATTTATTTCATACGTCTGTTATAAACAAAGAATAACTTTTCTAACTTATTACACTTAAGTAATAATAATGATAAAGTAATTTTTTATAAATTATTTGACTAATACATTGAAAGTTTTATCCTTTCATTTTTATGTGATAAGCTATAAAAATTGAGTGGAATTTCGAGACATATAATAAGCTTATAATTTTTCATTTTTCTGTGGAATTATATTTAAATTAGATAAATTGGAAAACGTAAAATCAATTATAACGATATATTAACTTAGCTATTTAACTTATATTTACACACTGCTTATGGGCTATATAGCTATTGCATATATATTCTATATGTGTTTTTTATGTGTAATATAATACTTATACTGTATATTTAATTTCTTAATATAACTAGTTGAAATTATATAAGTTATACTTTATAATATAATTTATTGTGTTTCTTATAACTTAGTAAATCAATCATTATTAACCTCGATAATTTGTCTTTTAAATTAATAAGGAAAAAATCAGCTCTGAAAATAAGTCAAAATTGATTATACCAACGTAACTGCAAATAATTTTAATTTAACTTTATAAAATGTAATTTAAAATAGGATTTTAAGTAGCGTTAAATTCACTCCACCAAAAATTTATTATTTAGGTTGATAATATTTTAAATCCAATTAGCATTGACCGCAGAACAATTTATCCTGAAAAATTTTATTCGTTTAAAATATTTTTTAAGTAAGTTACTCTCTTACTTACATAATTTTTTTTTTTTTACTTTCAAAACAAACTTTCAGTAAAATATTAAAATTAGTTTATTTTATTTTATAGATAGAACCTATTAATAATTCGTTTTCATTTTTATATAACATACTTTTAATATTTTCATCAATTTCTGAATATAGAATTTTTAATTAATTTTTATGATTTTAAAATAATCATCAATTGTTTTTTCAATAAAATTTATAAATTAAATTTCGTGATTATTATCTTAAGCACTATAATATAATTTACTAGTATAAATATATNAGGACAAAATTTGTAAATAACGTATATGTTCGAACAGAGACGTTGTTAAATAAGATAAATATCGGGGCATAAATGCACAGAAGAAAGCACATATTTTTAATAAAAGAGCTTCAACTCCTAATCCCTATCTAGTTTATTCTATGTATATCTAATTGTATAAACATAAAATGTATTGGATATTACACACTAAACATAACAGATATTATTTTAATCTAAAAAAATGTATTTGTTCTGTGTTTTGACATTGGCTCGATTACTCTTTTCTAACATAAGTTATTATCAAGTATTTTTTTAATAGTGATATTTTTGCGAGATATTGAATATGATGCATTTCATAATGGATCATATTCATTAATTGTCAAATCTGAAAAGCCATTATCATTATTAGATGTCAATATTTACTTATCATTATCATCATACTTTGGAATAGATTTATTGCATCGCTTATGTTTAATCTCGTTGCAGCTTTAAAATTCCTCATATCATTATTTTTACAAAAAAAGTTGGAATAAATAATTAAAGCAAACGATTAAATTGCGCGCTAGTTCATATCAGAAACAAACAAACAGACAGTTGAAAATAATTAATATAAAAAAAAAAAGCTGCAAAAAGGCTCTGTATACAAACAGACAGTTGAAAATAATTAATATAAAAAAAAAGCTGCAAAAAGGCTCTGTATTTTCGGTCAATATTATTTGACTTGGAATCTATTTCTAACTCTACGTAGGAAGATCTAACAGTAAATAACGCGTAGGAAGTCTTCCAAAAATAAAAATAATACTGTCTTATATTGAAATAAACAAAACAATAATATGAGAAAACAAAAAGGAATGAAAAAATTTAGAGCATGAACTATATTAAAGATGTACTGTATCTATGTTTGAAGATAATTACACAATATATTGATTTACAGTATTGTAACTTCTTATGACATCTATATTAAAATATACTTAAATTAGTGTAGTTTTTAATAAAGTATTTGCTTGTATTTATTTTAGTATATAATCTTAATTAAACTAATCTTGAATAAAGAGAGTTTGGTTAATCTTTAATGAAGGTATAGATTACATTTTGAATGATCACACCTCTTTAATGAGGGACAAACGATTTAAAGATTGCATTTCCCGAAAAGTTTCTAATAACGTTATCTGAATTAAATGTTTTGAAATTATTTATACAATAGGTATTCGATTACATTGAATTTTTTAATTTGCAAAGATAAAGTTTACTCTTTCAAGTAAATTATCCAACGTAATATATAATAGAAAGTATTAACATTCGTCAATATAATTTTATATTTATAATATTATAAACGTAACTAATAACGTTAAGAGTTAGTCTAACAAAATGTGCAAAATACTAAATTAGCAATGTTTTTCTTTTATGGAAATGAGTTATTTTATTGATGAGAACATTTTCTATCAATTACATAGGAATGAAGATGAAGTCACAAAGATTGGAATAGAGTTGGGTACAGACGTTCTTCGACAGGAAGTATGACTATAACGTATTCCTAGAAAACGAGACAAAAATAGACAATGTCCGAAATGTTGTTCAATGCTAGTCTGTTACAGACGTTTAGGAGAATATCAAATTGTTGAATTTCCTGAATATCAGCATTTGTCTAAATTTAATAATAGTAAAGATTATTAAATTATTCAGATTGGATTCTTTAACTTTATACGTTCCACGTCACGCTAAAAGAGTCCCTATTTACATGTAATTGTCTGTAAATAATATAGATAATTGCAAACATTTTAAAATATTGATATTAATTCAGTCTAGAATTCCTTTTGATAGAATTCAGTCTAGAAACCCTGTAAAAGAAATTTTACAGGGTTTAAGGAATTTTTCAAGTTTCTTTATTATAATTATTACTTTTCTTTGGAAGTTAATTATGTATAATCATTTTAACGTAAATTTTAACACACTTACTACAGTTTATTATTAATGAATTTCGATTTGAAAATTTTTATAAAATGTCAATTTTCTACAGATAATTCTATTTTGCAGTAGATAAATATTTTAGAATGTTAATATTACTGTTCATTAATTAAAATTTTTAATTGTATTGCATTAACTACAGTACAAATACCTTCGCAGGAGATTTGTTACTAGAGACAGTAAAAAAATTCATAAAAATTTTTACATAATAAATTCTTGCAAATATTAAAAGTTATTTCAGGCATAGATAAATTATGAAATATGCATTTGGGAATAATTGACGCAAAATCTGGCGAAAGCACTCTCTTTTTATAGATGAATTCATTTACAAGGAGGGGCATTTTTCTGTGAATAATTCCGAGAATGTGACGAATTCTTCGTTAATAAATCACTTGGTCCAGTTCGGGGAGGAGTGTTGGTCTCCACCTGTCATTACTCAGTTAATAGTATCATAAATAAGTCAGTCTCCCTTACTTTGTAAGTCTTGAAACAATCTGTCCATAGACATGGAACAAACTGATATATGGATAATCACGTCTTCACACCATTCGTTACAATGGGCCCCGTTAGGAATTTACCGAAGTCTAGGCTATTCACTCCTTTGTACTAAACAATAAACCGATCATTCTAATTATATATGCAGTTTAAAAGATAGTCAGTCCATAAATGAATTTAATATTTGCTATAAACTGATAATGAACTAAATTTTTCACTTGTAAAAAAATTCGAATTTTTCTGCAACTTTTGAAAGATTAGAGAAAAAAAGAAGAAGAAGAATTCTTTCTTCTCCATCTCTTTGACATGCTAAACATTTCATTGTCACATAATATTGATATTAAAATTCAGCTTCGTAGTGTAACAACATCGATTAAAATTCACGGCAACATCTTCAACCAGATTGGCACAGAACTGTTCATTCCAAACTGAATACAAATATAAAATCTCCGTCTTCGCGTATTTTTTTAGAAGCTCAGTGAATTTTTTATTGATTTGAAATAACTCATGTATTTTTTTAAAAAATAATAATTCAAAATTTAGTCAAAAATAAATTAATTTTAAAGGTTTCAAAATATTTCTAATTGTAAACAAAAATAAATTTAACGATTGTATTAAAATAAATCGAATCCCGTGCCATTCACTGTATCAAGAAAAATAAGCGCCGCGAAGTATATCTAGAAAAATTTTAATCGTATCACGTGACGGGGATGGTATGTGTGACGTAGCTAGTTGCCTTAGCAACAACAAGAAAATTGTTAAAGTGCTTCCGTCTGTCGGTTGTTATAGAAACCGTCTCTTCCAGTTTAAGTTGTGATTCGGTGAAAACGAAATCGTTTTTTCGAATTTAAGAGAACGCGACTTGGTCCAATAAAAGTTAATGACGTCAAGTTAAAAAAAAATCGTCTCCGTAATTTAAGTGTAATAAAAATTTTCGATAATTTTACTTTAACTAAGACGCAAACATTATCAGGAAAACGAAGGAAGGGAGGAAAAAAAAATTTAATGGTTCGACTCGTTTGGTGAGACTTAAAAAGAGATAATCTCTGGAGTGTTGTTAAATCCAATATTATCTTTTATAGCATATTTAAGCGTTGTTTCAACATATTTTTTCCGCTTGTAGTTTTCTTTAGAATTACAGTTTTAATATTTAATAAATGCATAATAAAATATTTAAGAAACATTAAAATATTAATGATAAATTCGCTCTCTTTCGAATTTATTCTACTATTACAAAGTAAAAAACTATATCTTTATTCGATAATTATTATGATGCTATGTAATTATCCCCATAAATCATACAAATTGCATTAATTTACTTACGAAAATACTATTGGACGTTATCGGGGCTTTATTAAATGAAAGTAATCGTAATTTTTCATTTTTAGTATAAAATGAAATTTTTATACTTGTATTATGACAAATTAAATAATTTAAATCAACACCATTAAGTTTTAATTAACTATTCATAGCAGCAAATCTATGAGTTATACCAGATTTTCTAATTATTAAGTTTAAAATAATATCTTATTTTCATACATTTTAAGTTAAAACAATTTAAATTTTAAATAAGTTATTATAATAACGAAATAATTAGTTATTGTATTAAATTGTAATTAATTTTTAACTAAAAAATTTAACTGGTTAAATAGATAATTAGATACGCTTCACATTTAATTCGAAATGCTTACGAATATTCTTGGTGAATTAATATGATCATTTTAGAAATTTAAAAACATTTTAAATGTTATTTATAATATTCTTCATGAGTATTTTTTTTTTAATTTAATAAAAAAAAGAATAAATTTATTTACACCATTTGCAATATTTGTAAAAATTCTTAAAATATCAAATTATTTATAATAATATAATATTATTTCAATGGTAAAATAAAATATATATATATAGGAAAGCAGATGTTTATGTTCGTAAACAATAATACTTATTTACAATTCTCCAGTTAGATTATAATTTATAAAGCCTTGTTTGCTTTTCCTATTTGTGCAAATTAAACGGTCTGTATGCTTGCTTGCAAAAAGGAATAATCGGTATTCTTATATAAAAAAGAAAAAAGAACCTCTAGAACGGAAATAAAATGAGACAGGGGAGATTCGTGTCTCTGCTCACGATAACCACCTGGCCACGTGTTTTGCCACGTGGTCTGACAACTTGTGAGTAGAAGCGAGTTCTTTACACACTACACACCTGTCCACGTAGCACAATGACCTAGAAGCGTGCCTCGTTGCTTCTGTAGCCGAAAACTTTGTAATCCCTACAAAAGTTCTGAGAGTTCCATTGAACGAAATGTTAAAATATAATATTGAATACAATGAAAGCAATAGAAACTTTAATTCAATCAGTTCTATATTCACTGATTAAAAACTAAATTAATACCTTTATTTATATGATTAGGCTATTATAATAGCAAACTATTTGTAAAAAGTAAAATAATACAATTATAAGTCGTACAATTTTATACATGATTTTAAACTGTTAATTTTGTTATTTACATTTTAATAATTATTATTATTAAGAAATAAGTTTTATTAAAAAAAACAATAAATCGCTAAATAATACTTATTGTAATAGAGCTATTTAAAACTAATTTAATAACTGATTTTTTTTATTTTTTTTCATTTTCTTTGTGAAACAATGATGCGAGTAAAACGTAGTTAATAATGTTAACATGCATATGAAATGAGGCTTTGAAAGGAAAATTATTTATTTCTAAAACATTAAGCTTCAAAATTTTCTTTTAGAAAATCGAGAACGTTTTGGACATTTTTTTCACATTGAAATTGTTACTTTCTTTTATGAATTTTTTCTTATTTAAGAAGAAACAATATGTATTAAGATAATAGAACAAATGAAATATATTCTCTTGTGTGACTCTTATACTGTTTATAACTCTTAACTTTTAAAAATAAACTTCATATATGTGAAAATATAACTGGGAGATTATAAATTAATGACAAATAGGAATTATCAATTAAATTTTCAGATAAAATTTGTATGCTAATATAAGAAATGAATTGTAAAATTTTTACGCAATTTTAATTAAAACAATTAATGTAAAAATGAAATTTAAATTAAAATATGTAAAATGAAATGTGTTTGATATTTAATAAGCTGTAGTCAAAAATATGCCGAGGCTGATTATTTCGTATTTATTTGATAACTTTCAGATGTATTACAGCCAACTATTAGCTAAGAGATCCTCAATTATTTTCGTACCATGACCCACTTCTATGTTAAGGAATAGCAAAAAGACAGTCGCGACAGCACAAAAATAAATTATACACTAATTTAAAAAAAAAAAAAGGAAAATGTTAGATAATTAAGTAACTTAAGTGCATTTAATTAATAAATGTAATTAATACATAATAAATTATATTTATTAATTTATACTTAATCTTCATAAAACTTTATCTTAAAATAACATTTTTATAAATAGCTATTAATTTGCTTATATTTATTTCGAATAAAACTATAAAAGAGCAATTGAAAGTCAGAAATAATTATTAGTTATAACTTTATTTTATTACTTTAAAATATGTAAATAATTATTGACGTCTCTTCTTACTTATCTATTTTGTGTTTATATAACAGTATAAAATTTATTATTAAGTAGTCTTATTAATTTTAGAGTGGCTCAATTGATAGACAGTTCCATTCAAATTATAAATATACTGTTTGAAAATAAACTAATTCTCCATTTCAATAAAATAATATAAAAATAAGTAGACAATTTTTAAAAATTTCATAGCTTAAAGTTAAATTTTAATTAACATGTAATGATACTGACCTAAATAAATGAAAAATATCATTTTATTATTAATAAAATATTGTATTGTACTGTACAGATACACTTTAAATAATCGGACTATATAAATAAATTGTTATTGTAATTTATAATTTAAAAATTTTAATTAATCTATATTTAATTACTTTTTAAATAATTAAATCAGTTATCTCAATGTAAACATCGTGTAGTATGTTAAGTTATTATAATATACGTTTATTGGATTTTCATTAGTTTCAAATTATGATTATGTTAATCTATTTTGGTAAATAGAATTTGAATAATATAGTGTATTAGATGTACTAATGCTATTATAATGTTTATACATCTTAAAAATACAGTCGAATTTCCAA